GAGGGTCTTTTTTTTTTTTTTTTAAAAAAAAAAAAACCAACTTTGGATTGAAACGAAACGGAATTTTTTTTCTTGGTTCGGCATCTTGTAATTGTGGCATATGAAAAACAAAATTTTGCATGGATATTTGGCTGCGGCATGTGGTGAGGCTATTTTCAAGCCCAATTGCTTGTCTGAGTATGAATGTCCGGTTCACACCTGCTCCAATGGCTATAAATACCCAGATACTCGAGCCAGTAGTTAGTTGACTGACAATCCAAACCGTCCATTGCAATGTCGACGTCATACCACGAGCGGAATACCACACATAGCAAGGCATGCGACTTAATCCCCAACATGGCACAGGCAGGCGGCATCCACATTCACAACTTGGAGAGACACACACAGATTAAGATATCCTCTACAAGCGCTGTTCAATAACCCTTCCGTACCATGGACGATGGGCATGCTTGATATTTGCTAATCGAACATAAAGTAATGAAAACCGAATCTTCCCTTGCTCCCTTCCTTCCGCTGGTAGCCACATGTCAACAGTAATGACGGCCGACCGAATCGACCAGTGGCTAGGATAAAGTCGACACCTGATTGATCAATGCCGTGGACACTTCGCTGCTCTACCTCCTTGCCTGCCGCTCCCCTTTATTCCACCAAGATTTCCCCCCAATGCCGCGCTGATAATCCCAATGTAGACGCGACTATAATGCTATACTTCATGTCTTACTCCGCTGCAGAAAATTGCCCTCCCTTCAAGACAGTTCAGATGTCACTGTGATGTCTCCTTGTCGGATTACGACCTCGGAGTACGTCCCGAGAAATTCTTTTGTCAGAAGGCGCCGTACCGGTTCTGGAATGTGATACACGGAGCCGACTGGACACACTATGCGACGGACCGTCAGAGGGGCTTGGGATTGGGTCATTCCAGATAGACCAGTCAATCTGCAAATCCCGATCCCCTGCCACGTTTGATGCAGAAGTTGATGTCCTATTCCCGTCGCCACTGCCACTTCTCCGGAAACCGCTCCTTTGAACAAGAGGGCTCGCCGTGACGACACCCCCTGCTTCAGAGGAGCTCTTCTAGTGGCCCCGCAAAGATGCGTGGTTGGTACGAGGGCTGCAAACCTCTCCTGGTGCTCCCACCGCTCGGTATGAATGCCCTGGAGCATCACTTTGATCCAGAGTCCATCGAATCCTGTGTTGGCCGACGCCGTTCATATCACGCTTGACATCAAATGTTCCGCCCCCGTTGGAATTGTTGCCCTCAGTGTCACAAAGGTTCAGCAGGTCTTGTTCGGTTAGGGAGAAGTCATTGGCATAAATCTCCACCTGTGACTTGATCGCGCCTAGGTCCATGTATCCCTCTGCATCGGCAGCTCCAGACGCAGATAATTCTCTGTATGCAGTACACAGAAAGGATCTAACCATAACGTGGCGTGGCTGGGATGAGGATCGAATGGAACTCATGGTTGGAGTTGGCGAGGCCATATTAGCCATGCCAAAGCCTGGCGGAATTCCCGGAGAGCCCCACGTCGAATTCGGGAAGCCAGGTGGTGGGAAAGGCTGCCCGTGTGTGGCTCCCGCCGGAGGACCCCAGGGATTCTGTCCCATGGGAAACCCTGCGTCCATAAAAGGGCTCGTCGGAAATCCTCCACGGGGCCCGGGGGGTTGATTACGCAGACTACCGGGGTTCATGCCCTCCAGCGGAGGCGCATCGTCAGCTACCAGAGCGCTGCTACCCAGATGCTTAGTTTCGTCATCTGCTTCGCGAGATTGGCGTTGAGAGAGGCTGCCAGGGCGGCCAATCGGTGCAGGTCTTCCAATCGGTTGGGTCGGCACTCCTGCTGCCCCATCATATCCAATAGAGCCTTGGCGTGTATGCGTAGGAATCGGAGGCTCTTTCGCCATTGGGAACCCTTGGTTCATGGGGAACGGATCCGTCGAAGCGTGATTGAATCCCGGAGGCGCCATTGGGCCTTGGGGAAATCCTCGTGCACCTGGTCCGTTCAGTCCAGGAGGCGGCATCATCACGTTGGGACCAGGACGAAATTGAAGGGGGGGAAATATAGCCTCGTGTGAAATAGGGCTGGGAAAGCGTGGCGGTCGGTGTTGTGTCAGTCCTGGGGGCGGTTGCAAACCCATTGTCGGCGGCATTTGGAAAGGCGGCGTGTGGCTCGGTAGTCTGGTTTGCATACTGTGAGGTGACACGGGTTGATTGAGCTGAGCCGCGAGTATCGAGCTGCTTGTGCTGGCTTTTCTTTCTTGCCCAATGGGTCCGGGGCTGGCCTGAATAGGAGTTCCGGGATGAGGAGACGGATTCTGGCTAGGTCCTGATGCGGATTGGGAAGCCGCTGAGCTCCCTGGACCAGAGTCTTGCTGCTGAGACAACGCACGAGATCGAATAGGTGTGGGCGCTTTCGGGATCGCTGGCGTGGCTACTGGAATTTTTGGCGAAGCGTAGCTTGCCGGGTTAGGCGGATGTTGCGATAGAACAGTCGGGAGGGGGGTAGAAGTATACCCCTGTCCGCGCTTTGCGATTTGAATGGGTTGTGTCTGAGCAGTTTGGATGGAGGACTTGTGGTTTGCTTTGTCTTCTTTTGCTCGTTGAGCAGCTTCATATATCTCTTTGTGAGCTTTAGCTGCCCTCGCCTCCTTTTCTCGCTTGTCGCGTTCCTGTTTCTCTTTACGCTCCTGTGCTTCCCGCTCTCTCTGATCCCGAGCCTCTTGGTCCCTTTGACGTTGCTCTTCCTTGAGCTTCTTTTCGCGCTCCTTTGCCTCGCGGGCTTTGCGTTCTTGCTCCGCCTGTCTTTCGCGCTGCTCGTGAATGCGTCGTTGACGGTCGGCCTCCTTCTTTAATCTGGCTTCTTCCTCAGCCTTCTTCTGGGATTCTTTCTGTTTTCGTTTCTCCTCGGCTTTGTGTCTCTGTTCAGCAATTCTCTGCTGCTCAGCTTCCAGGCGAGCAGCCTCTTCCGCGGCCTTTTCAGCTTCCTTACGCGCCTTTTCCTCAGCCAAGGCTTGCTTCTTTTGAGCAGCCTTGTCCTTTTTCTTTTGCGCGTTTTTGGCTTTCTTGGCCTTTTGCTGATCAACTTGCCTGCTCTCTTCTTCTAACTCTTCTAGCAGCTTGTCTTGCCGCTCTTTGGCCACTTTCTCCTTGTATGCAGATAGGACTCTTTGCTCGAACATTCGGGCTGCAAATATTTGAAACATTCTGCGGCCTTCCTCCATTCTCTGTTCTTCCGTCATTTGATCCTGGCAGCAGCACTCAGTATGGAACCTGGACGGCATTATAGAAGGATTAGAATATACCTCTTCATCCTCATACTCCTCGTCTTGGCTGTCCTCATAATCTTCCTCCTCGTCTTCTTCATCTTCGTAGTCATCATCGTCAGGAGGATGATTATGAGGAGCGGAGTATGAGCCGTTGGGATGACCGTAGCCGCGGGAGAAGTGCTCTCTTGCATCCTCCTCGCGAGCCATGCGACGTTCTGCTAGCTGTTCCATCATTTCAATGAATCGCTTGCCGTCGTTTTTGAGTAGGTCATCCGCCACGGTGAGAATGCCGCCTAAGTCCATGTTACCATATGCGCTGAGAAGAGATTCAAGAAGCTGCGTACCCTTGACTTGCAAACTACTGCCAAATGCCAAGAAATCCGTCATGTCTCGATCATAGGGATTGTGAAACTGCTCTGGGGGTTCGTCGTCACTATATTCGTCGTCCTCCGCTTCATCCTCACTATAAACTTCTTCCAGCTCGTCTTCTTCATCTTCGTCGCCCACGTGCTCTACAATCCTACCATGAGACGGCTGTTGCGGGGTATAATTCGAGGGTAGTCGACGGCGAGGTCGCAGGGGGAAGTCTCGTGATGGTGGTTGCAGCATTGGTGGTCCATCGCCGTGGTTGGCAAACTGCTCTAGCTCCAGATAGTACGCATCATACAAGCCCTCCAACTCCTCCTCAATAGCTGTTCGTTTCCGTCCACACACAGTACAACTGCATGTGTGCTTCTGCTGTTCCTTCATCTTCTTCAAGACAGCGTCTTTCTCCACCTTGACCAGTGACTTTCGCTCGTCTTCGCCAAGTCCAAGCCAGAACTCCTTAATGCGTTCTCTTTCTTCGTGATTGCTTGTGCTCCAAATCTTATCTCGTGACATGCCTGATGGTCGAGAGACGTCTTGACTGGTCATTCGGGGTACAGAAGTAGAAACAACTGGAGAGTTGTCAACATCGCCAAACTCGTCGGCATTCTTTCTCTTCTTTTTCTTGTTCTTTTTGGACTTGGACGCCGGACGAGAATGGCCATTCGTCCCCGCAAGGTCGCCATTCCGCGCGTCCTCCACATCTTCCTCATCACTTACGACGACGTCTTGGTCATCGGGTAAAGCCTCGTTGGGTCCGTTTGATGTTGATGAGGGGTCTGGAAGAGCGTTGGCTGCTTGCTCGACGGCCGCGGCCTTTGCTAATGCCTTTTGTCGACGCTTTTGCTTCTTGCGATTTACGTTCTGTAAAGGCGCGTCAGGCGTAGGAGGGTTTGGCAGCGGATTCACCGATTTAGCGGCAATTGTCGGCGTTGAGGGTTGGGAGGAGTCGGAAGGTGTGCTTTTAGGGACAGTGATGAACTTTGATCCATCCTTGTTTGTGTACTTGGCTGTGTTTCGAGGTGATGCCGGCGTAGGAGGAGCCGGTTTCTGGTTGGTGGCCGGCATCGTACGTTCTACGGAACGTCGGGGGGCGACACCATGAAGAGGTGGTGATTGCTGATGGCTGTTTGGGGCCTGCTCGCCGCGACGTCAATGGCCGATTCTGATGATGCGCACAAAGTAACGGTCAGCCTCGAACGGATAATGAGCCACGCTAAGAATAAGTCTGCAACACGCGACAGAAGCCGGGAGGGGTCGCCAGCGGCGGAAGGTAGACGGCGACGGCTGAGGTTGAGATGGGATTTGGTGGATGCTCTTGGAAAGCGGCTCAAATTGAGGGACGCCATGGAGTACTCACCCACTTCAACCACTCAGAATCAGGTTGGCCAACTGAGTGTTAGGTCAGCAATGACGCCAGTGGGGGAGCCGCGTTTCCCCCGTTGGAATGAAGTTCTCCCTGGGAAAAATGACGAGCTGCTCCTGCTGGTAGGGTAGTCTCCGAAACAGTAGCAGGCGGACTGGTGGGAGGTCGTCTTCAATTTGGAGGTTGATGATCGGGCTGGCTGCAAGGTGGAAGTCACAATGTGGTGTAGTTACATGGCGGCGGTACATTTAGTCCTGCATCTCCAGAAGACGACCATTCTTGAAGCCCATAAAAACTGGGTCTCGTCCTTCAATCAGAGCCCCTTCTGTCATTCTGTGGTGTGGCGGTTTAGTCGACTGGCAGAAAATGAAGCCCGTGCATGTGCACGTGACCGCATCGATGATGTACTGGTCTCGTCCCGCGCACCTTGATGAGGAGACGGTGAGCAGAATCAAGAAGTTTGCAAGATGGTTAGTGGACTAATTTTTCTTTGCTTTTTTTTATTCTACAATTCTCACATGTTACATGCGAATTTCTAACAAGCCATTTTGCTATGGCCAGCATATGCCTGACTGCTTTGAGATAAACCTGTCCCAATTGAGCCGCTTGAGTGATTCCGAGCCTGAACAGGGAAACTCCTGAGTTGACAACACTCGAATTCTTTCCTCCTCGAAGCTACACAATGGCATTTCATACATACTTTCAAAAGACCCACACCACTCTCCTCGTGGTTCTATCTCCGCGACTCTCCAAGACTTGTTGCACTGTCGTCGGATGCACACCAATGCTGTCGTCTTGATTTGCAACGTTGTAGTGCCCAGTCAGAGTCGAGGCGGGTGAAGCGGGAGCTTCATGCTAGTATTCAAAAGGTCAAACGTCAAGGGTAGGATAAAGTCCACAGAATTATTTAAGCAAAAGGGACTCCATTGCCAGCCTCCATCAACAGGGACCACCGCGGTCACCTGGGTAGTCCGAATGTTGGATCGTGGGAGGTCAATGAATACGAGAAGACTGCCGCAGGACCCTGTCAGCCCTGTTTCCCAGTCACCTAGCAGGAAATAACTGCTAGCCGTCATAAATGTAGTTCATACCGAACTGATTAAAACAATCAAGCCTCAACATGAGACGTTTCCCCCTTCCGACCAGTCAGGGCGGCCGCCCATTCGGCATCTGCTGCCTCCACTTGGCCAAACTCGAATGCTCAAGCGGCTGGGTTAATCAAGATGCCAGCTTGCAGGCTTTGCAGGAGGTTGACCTCTATTCAATGCAAGGCATGGCTGGCTCCACGGAGCACAGCCTCCTCTCTGGTCTCGGATGCGAAGCCACCACATCGTTATTTTGAGTACTACAACTCAGTGGTAGCCGCGTTCCGAATCTTCCATCCTGGCAGGCCAATTCCCTACTCCATTGAACTTGGTCCTATGGCGGGTTGAATTGGCCACACCATCTCTCCATGGCTGCGGACTTGCACGTTGCCGAGAGTCAAGTTGCACACTTGTATGTAAAACAGGGCACCTATTGTGGCCAGGCGACTTGACGGAACTGTAAAGTGCGGAGTGCGCTGCATATTATGTATGGACGCGGTGCATGGCAAGCCCGGGGCATTTTTCTCATTGGAGCTGCGCAGCGGTGTCGTTTAACCGGAAAACATGGCCTGCCGTAGGTCTCTTCGTAGTCTCTGCCGGTTGTTGTTTGCTAAGAGACGGAGGAAAGAGCATGGGGAGGCAAGGCAAGGCAAGGCAAGGCAAGCAGGACGCAAGACACATTTTAAAGTTTGCGCCTCGCGGTCATAGTAACCGCAGGTATTGCAATGTTGCAGCTGGCTCCTTCTTGGGGAAGCTGTCTGGAGAGGCGAACCTGCTACTGCCCACATGTCAATTGTCCTAGTGCCTCAGCAACCAATCAGTTCGGCAGCAACGGCAAACCTGGTCCAGGGGTCATGACGAAGACTCCAACAGACCAGCTGGGCAAAGGCTTGGGACATTCTTGGCTGGCCTGAGCTGGGGCTGCATAACATTAGTCTGTCCAGACTGATGGGTAAGTCTGTCGCCTTGGTGTCTACAACATGGGTTGATCAATTGATGTGTCCGTACGGAGTAGACAGTTCCGCCCGCAAACAACCCTTGTCATCCTGCGGGTGCTCAAGTCCTACAATGCACAAGTCTCGGGACCTGTGACGGCACGTAGACACGGCCAGGTCCAAGCAATACATACAGAAGCAGTAAGGGGTCTCGCACCCGTCATGGCTCATGACGAGTTTCCCGCCCGGAGTTGCCGTTATGTAAGCCGGTGCCAACCTGAGCAGTCAACATTTGAACGCCCCATTCTGCCCCCAACTGTCGAATGCTGGTTCAACCGGCGCTGGTGTCTCTTTCGTCCACACCCCCCGACTAGTTCGACTTTGGAAGCCAACTTGAGTCTGCTCTGCTCGGGCAAGGTCAACTGGTTCTCTTGCTGCTTCTGCTGTTTCCCTTCTTCACCAAACCCCATCCTTGCGACTTCATCACCGCGTGTCCGTTCGAGTCCCCCGCTCCGTTCTTGACACGAAACTTCCACCGCGTCTACGCTCTGCGATCTCTTGTCGATCTGACCACGTTACCGCCGACGTTCGAACCCGAAATCTGGCAATTGTTGGTGGGAGCCTTCTTGACCCTCGTATTCGATCGAACGTCCCAAACCCAACTTAGCCCTCGTCCCACTGCGGCCTCCAAACCTGCCTCGCAGCCCGCCGTCCTACTTTGGCTGTTTGCTCTTAGTAAACGCTGCCCAGGAGCATATAACGTCCTTTGTTGTCGTTGCTTGGACCCAACTCGTCACGAATATCCCTCCAACTCCAACGGCTGCGCCACCCGGGTCTAGTTGGAATTCGTGGACTGAACGGCTGTGGACTTCTGTAAAAACGACAACAGAGTCCAATAGCTCGCCGCCGAATTCCTCCCGCTTTTTGATTTTCTCAATCCCTAGCTTTCAAGATGGCTAGCTCAAATTCTCAAAACGTTATTCGCAGGTACGGGCATTCAGCCAATTGAGCTTAATTCCATTGGCAGATTCACTTCACAACGCTTGATCACCAATCCGTCTTCCTCTGCTTCCTTTTTCGGCCTGCAAAATCCAGCTATGAATTGTTGCTAATTTGAGCTTTTTACTATTGCAGAAAACTAGTCATCATTGGTGACGGTGCCTGTGGTAAAACCAGCTTGCTCAGTGTATTCACTCTGGGATATTTTCCTACGGTTTGTGCTATCCCGGTTCATAAGTCTTGTGTGAGCTATTTGGCTAACTTCGCCCCCCCTTTTTGTAGCGATATGTAAGATATATGCCAGATATAATGGAAGCTGGAAATTGATCCTAACACCAACGCGTCTAGATTCCGACAGTGTTTGAAAACTACGTAACCGATTGCAGAGTCGATGGCAAATCCGTACAATTGGCGTTATGGGACACTGCAGGTCAGGAAGACTACGAGAGGCTACGGCCGCTGGCTTACTCAAAAGCCCATGTCATCTTAATCGGGTTCTCAGTTGACACACCTGATTCTTTGGAGAATGTAAAGAACAAGGTACGTGCTGCCCAACTTGCTATTAGACATATCTTGATGCTGACTCGAACTCTGCATTGGGTAGTGGATTGAGGAAGCGACACGACTATGCGCTGGCGTCCCCATCATTCTAGTAGGATTAAAAAAGGATCTTCGAGAGGATCCAGTAGCAGTTGAGGAAATGCGCAAAAAATCTCAGCGGTTCCTCACACCCCACGATGGAGAGATGGCTGCTCGGGAAGTTGGGGCGAAGCGTTATCTGGAGTGTTCGAGCTTGAGCGGCGAGGGAGTCGACGACGTTTTTGAAGCCGCAACACGAGCCGCCCTCCTGACATTTGAAAAAGGCGAAGGAGGCGGTTGCTGCGTCGTTCTGTGAGCACGGGCTCACCAGCGATCTAAATACGTCGGTAAATGTATGAGGGCCAACGAAGTGTCTCCGAGGCTTTCCTCCTCATCACCGTCAAATTGGGACCCTCTTCCACATCTCGTTTCGTTTCGACCAGCATCTCGGTAAAGCATAGCATCCTCTCCTTAAATGGTGACGCGTGCGTCTCCCTTCCTTTCGACCGCTAGTTCTCGTCTCCTGCTTGTTCTTTATTTTAGTTGGGCCGCGATATTTGGCAAGCGAACTTGTTCTCTCTTTCAGTTGAGTCTATCTGAACTTTTACAGCGAGGCACACATGGATCTGCTTTTTCGCAGTACAAAAAGCAGCTTCTCCGTATTAATAGGGCACGGAAAGGGTATAGATCACATCAGCTGGCCTGTGCGTAGCGCATAGTCGGTCCGTCTCCTAGCGTGTTGATTTTTTCTTTTCTTTTTTTGCGTTTTGTTTTGGGATAAAAAAATATCCCACTAGGGATGATTCGGGTGCATATTTCTTAAAAGTAGGTGCGGTTTGGACCAGCAGAGTAGGTGTCATACAATTGGTATTGAATGACAACAATGATTCTGTACTCGACATGGCGGTGGCCTTCTTTTCCCACCATGCCGCGACAATAAAAGTGCTTTAATCCGACAAGTGATGTTTGGTCATTGAATGCTGGCTTACGCTATTCTATTATTGCTCCAGAAGCTGTAGTGTACAACTGTTATGTGTCCATACAACGGTGTTAACAGTACCTTTATACAAGCCCATGCCCGAGAAAACAGGGCTACCTTTTCCAGTCGTGATTCCAGGGCTCCCTGGCGGGACTGTCCGTCTGGAATCGCGCATACTCAATGGGGACAGCGTCCGTGCCCCAGACGCCCTTCTTCTCCATGGCCACTCTGTACAGATACCCTTCGCCCCTGCCCTCGGGCCCGACTGTCTTCCTCAGCTCCTCGCAGGCATTGTACATGCCGGCGTGCATGCGCTGTCTCTCCTTGCTCATCTTCTCGTGCTGCTGGCGTCGAAACAGCTGCCACGCGCGATGGATCGTCCAGTGGCGCAGGTATCGCTGCCGGGCCATCCTCAGCGGCGGCGGGGCCGGCGAGAACATGTTCTGCTTGAGCGTCTTGATGCGCTGGAAGTTTTCCGACTTGGGGGCCTGGCGGCTCTTGCGGACGGGCTTTGTGCCCGGCCCGGGTTTGGACGGCGCTTGGCGAGCCATGGTGGGTGTGGTGGTTGAGAGGAGGCGCGCGGCCAAGGGGATTGCTGATTTGGACGGCTTGCCGAGGAGGCTGCCGAGGGAGAATAATGATGCCATGAGTGGTGCTGTGCGATGGGCAGACGCTATGTTTTATGTTCTTTGTGGGTTGTTTGGGCGGCCGCGACGTCGTTTGGGTGGACTATTGTCGTCGGATTCGTGTTTATCCTCCTGATATGGGACGGCGTGTGGCGAGCCATGGTGGGTGTGGTGGTTGAGAGGAGGCGCGCGGCCAAGGGGATTGCTGATTTGGACGGCTTGCCGAGGAGGCTGCCGAGGGAGAATAATGATGCCATGAGTGGTGCTGTGCGATGGGCAGACGCTATGTTTTATGTTCTTTGTGGGTTGTTTGGGCGGCCGCGACGTCGTTTGGGTGGACTATTGTCGTCGGATTCGTGTTTATCCTCCTGATATCCCTACTCTGAAGATTGTTGCAACTCGGTTGCTTTTCGTTTCCTTCCCCTTGTCTCCGACGGAGTGGATGCCGTTTCTGGTTCCGTTCTTACTACGATTGTGGAGGTGCCCTTGTGGCTATCTTGTCCTGGAGCCAGATCTGTCTGACCCGAACCGAGTGCCTGAGGTTGTGGCTGCACAAGCTGATGAGCAACTGTCGCGATGCTGTCGGTTGAGATTGGCGTGCAGAATTGGTCGCGGAGCTCAAATAGAATATTGTTAGCGGTACGGTCGGTCCAATACCAATCGCGACAGCAAAGATTGACTGCTGTGTTCAACGCTTCCTGGACGCGTGGGCGATTGAAGCGATTGCTCGGGTGTGCGGGATCTAGGCGGAATTTCGGCTGGGCGTAGAATGCATGTATCTCCTAAAAAAATGGTTAGCGGTGCAAGGAAGGATATGGTGATCGGATTAAGATAATCCCGATGTCCTCGGGGTGGATCAATTGCGACCTCACCTCTCTTTGTTGGCCTTCATTGTCATACAACACGCAGTGTTCAATATTTCTCGATTCGTGCAGTTGCCTCAATGCCTCTTTTCCCAGGATATCTTGATAGATGACGCGCAGTTCTTCAAGAGTCATCTCTGTCGCCGACTCTACCGTCTCGACAAGTGGTGCCATTGCCAGTCTGGTAAGTCCACGGCTCAGTCTTCCGTCCAGTTGCCCGACCAAATAGGCGAACTCGCAAATCCGGGGGTGGTGGTTTAAAATCGACCGGGCCCAGCAAAGGTACGGGTGATTGACCGAAACCCTCATTCGCCAAGCATCGCGAACATGGGTTAGTATCAGAATGTTGATTTCAGAGAATGCCGGGACATGCTGGTACTGCGCCCCCCATAGGGGGCCATCACCCCCCGGTTCAAAGGAAATGAATGTCGCGAGCACCTGCAGGACTTCTTTACAGACAAGTTCAAACCTTGCCGAGTGTTCTCTCCAGGTCCGTGGCACCAAGCCCCGGAATTCAAAGCTGGCAGTCTCTGCACCGCCCTGATCGAGACCAAATGCACCGTGCAAGCCTGGATGATTCCATATCGGACCATCCGGATCCCATGCGTCGCCTTCCTGGCAGTATTCGTCGCCACTTGTATTTCCTGAGCCGCAATACTCAAAGACGTAGTCCCCGCCACTGTGGCCCAGGTAGTACCTCGAGTGCGAAAGCCCAGTAGCAACTCGAACCTCCCAAGAGTCTACCTCATCAAAACCTCCGATTCGGACATTCTTAAATCTGCAAAGCCGTCCGGGATTCTTAGAAATATCGTCCAGCCACTTCTCCTGATCCGCTTTCATCTGGGCCAGTCGTGTCTCATACGTTAGCACAGTATCAGCGGCATTGGCAATGACCTGCAGCTCGTCAAGGTGCGGTACAAGACTGGCTCGTACTCGACGATTCCGCTGCATCATCGCCCACTTCTCTCTATGCAGCGAAACCTCCGATCCTTCCTTCTCCAGTCGGGAATCTTCGCTCTTCAGCGTCTCCAAGACCGTTCGATACCTGTCCTGCTCTGTCTCATGGCCCTCTTCCCAAAGAGCTGACAGTTGCACCTTCTCCAGGTATCTCTCCCACCTAGCATTACAGAGACATATTTGCTCAGGTGTCCATGCTTCAGGCCCGTCAACTCGTTCCTCGGGAACGAAGAAACGAGAACTTGGCTCTGCTGGGCCTGGCAAAGGCTCTTCTTCCTCGACTTCTGGATGGGTTGTCCTCAATCCGGTAGATACTTCCCCCACGGCTGTTTCATTTCTCAGCATGAACATATAAAAGAAGTCTGGTTATTTAAAATGAAAGAACATTCGTAAGTCGGCGTAAATTTACGCAGGACATTGAGTTTCGTAAACTTGCACCCCAAGTATTTACTGAAGTAGGCCTTTAATCATCTAGGTACCTGGGTACGCAGGCAGGCAGGTTTTTAACTTCCCAAGTACATCTACGGGCCGAATGCCTAGAGTACCGAACAGACGTAGCCCAAACCTACACTCTTACATGGCCTAGGCGTTAGAGGATAAGAATATTCTCGTTAACTTAATCGGTGAGTGTACAGACCGAGCTATTGTTGCCGCCCCAGAAACCCGCACCTGGGAATGTGTCCCGGTCAAAATTGCCTTGTTTGTAGATGTGATCATTTGATTCAGACGGAAATAAGAAGATCATTGTCTGAAGCAGGTGGCTATGACGAAAAATGCTGCAACAAGCAGAGTCGCATGGGGTCTTTCCATGCGCCATGTATCGCGAGATGGTATAAGGTTCGGCCGCATTTGCCTATTTCAAGCCACGGGCGACTGTGACTTTTATCCAGTCGTTGTTAGTTCTTAGCTACGCCGCCAACACTAGAAATACAAGACAAAGAGTCTTACCCGCTCGACCGCATCAAGCCCATGCCTTTACGGAATACACTTAAGGATTGCGCCCGCTGGTACAGGCATGCAGAGCACAATGCCCTTGGGAATCTTACTTATCCTCAACATGCACATTGTGTACTAACTAGTAGACGCCACCAGATTCTGGCCTACGCTTCGACAAATACTCTAGGAATATTGGATTGGCGTCGGAGTACTTGCCTCCTTTGCTCAAATGCCATTGAGTCCACACTTAGTCTCCAAGTCCAGCGCGTATGAAAAATTAGAAATTTGACCTTGTTGCTTGATAGGTATCGGTTACATGCTGAAAACTAACCTTGGCCTTCCAGCATATTGACTAATGGAGACAAGTCGGCAGTCCTCGCCGTCAGGTTTCGTGGCTCTCCAGCCAGTGTATTGCACAAGACATCAGCCGACTTCCCGGATGAATTTGAAGACCTATACAGAGAATTACGGGAAGGAATATTTGCCTTTCCATGAAAGAAACTCATGGTTGCGAGGCGGCAATGGCCTACACTTCTCCCAGCAAAGAAGTCTCACGCCGTTGGCCACATGATGCATCTTTTTACACCTTTAGCACAGGTTTCTCAACTGGAAGGCTACAGTAAGAGTATTTAGTTTCTGAGTATAAATGGTCAGATCTCAATTAGTCGTCTATCTTTTCTTGAGCCTGTTTGTTGGAAAATATGGCACCACTCTCTTGGACCGTGGCCAACAAAACTGGACTCTAGATGCGATCGGAAGTCATTATATCCACTGCCAAAAAATGGAATCCTGGAGCTAGGAGAATGCTTTATGATACCACGATCTTGTCAAAACGGAAAATAAGATACCGCCGTCACCGCCTTACAGCCTTGCAGTCATGCCCAAGCCAGATGTTGATGGATGATTTGCAAGCACTCTCCGGTTGACGCCATGACATTTGATCAGTGATCAATCATCAGTGAATGCCTGAGCCTCGCATCAAGCCTCATTGTTTCCCCAGGTTGGGCCAACATAATCACTCCACGGGGAGCATTGACGAAATGCTTTCTTTGTCTGAGCTTGGGTCAAACCACCTCACTTCCTCCAAAAAAGATTCTGCCCACAACATCAGCGCAAACCTTCATCCGCTAGCTTAAAAAGTCAGAGGCAAGTCTTGCTTCGGTCACCGGTGTGCCATATTATATTTCCTCACTTCCTCCTCTGGCTCCATCTGGCCGCCGACACCAGCTCTTTGGAGACGGAACAGATCCTATCTTACTACGCCACAACCCAGCTACGTTGTTCATTATCGAGTCTTCAAATCAGCTGAAAGCCGGCAAGTTAGCCGCACAAGTTTCCACTCGGTTGAAACATGACGATGTGTTCATTTCTGGACTTTTGCATTTCATATACATACTCGTCAACAGCGCAAGCGTTCCGAGCTTAGACGTGAAATTAAAGCTCTACTTGAGTCATGGGGCACTCAAAGAGTACTTGTTTTTACAGCTCAGAATAATTCGGATTCTAGGACTCTCTGGTTTCTGGGTCCGTACTTCTCTTCCCAAGACGATCTTCGCCCAGCCTGGCGACTTTTTGACGATTCAAATGGCGCCTTCATGTTTCCTGTGATACCAAGCCGAGAAAACACAAGAAACTACGTTTCAATCACATGTCCAAGTCTCTAATTCTTAGTCCAGGCCATTCCGGGGACGGCTGGTATTCCTGTAACAAGCCGACTGTTCTACAAAAGCCCATCAGCTGAGCAGCCGCTCTCAGGAATGAGGATTGTCGTCAAGGATAACATTGACATGGCTGGAGTTCCAACGTCTGCCGGAAACAGGGCTTTTCAAGATTTGTATGGCGCAAAACGCGACAACGCCGAGGATGTAGATCGATTGCTGGATGCCAGGGCAGTCATTGTCGGTCGCGTGAAAACGGCATAGTTTGCCTCGGGAGAGAATGCAGGGGACCGGATCGACTACCAGGCTCCTTTTTAACCCCCGGGGAGATGGATATCAGGACCCGAATTGCAGTAGTGCCGGCAGTGCAACAGCAATATCTGCCTATGACCGGGTAGATGTTGCTCTGGGAACAGACAGTGAGGAATAATTCTCCTCCATCCGCTTGTCTAACTAACCAACCAAGATATACAGCGTTTGGAAGTGCCATTGGTCCAGCATCCGAGCATGGTCTCTTTGGTCTGCGTCCTACGCTAGGCGCCGTTTCTACGCGCGGCGTCTTCCCTCGATCCCGGTACGTCGTGTACTTTTCCTTGATGAACACATCTACTTACTAGTCTAACAGAGAGCTGGACACGGTGGGCTTCTTCACTCGCACGGCAAAGGCGGCTACGGCGACCATCCGTGCAATATCAAACATAAATATTGCCAAACGGTTTTGCAGTGCCAATACCGAACTATGTATCCTACAGACTTCTTTGCAAACCGGCCTGCAGAGTATCTCTCTGATGCAGAGCCTGAATTTTCAAAACTTGAGACGTTCTTCAACGTAAAGAGGATCGGAATTGAATCAGAGCTCAGTTCAAAGAAAGCCAGGTCGCGGATGGCAAACAACTGGAGGATTATCTCGAGACGGTGAAACAAATCTCAACATCAGCCAGTTTTCATTTACCAATGTACCCGATAGACTGTCGCATATATTCAACTATGATTGCCACCGCAATTGTCTATCTTTTCTAGAGGAATACAAACCAAAACTTAATAAGACGGCTTTCGCAGACCATATATACAGCACAAATGGTAATGTGATTGACATGCCCAAGGAGTAAAAACACAAGCTAAGGCCATCATAGGACCCTGGAAAAGGCATTGACAGATACTCAGTACCAGGAAGCAATTGATCAACGAAACGTGTTCAGGGATTGGATGCTTTCTGAGATTCTCTCTCTATCCACTAGTGGTAGGGATTTCGACAGAATCCTGCTCATGCTAAATGTATACATGTATCCTTTCGATCGGCGTCAGTACGATGGGTAAGACAGGAAATGAGTCAGCTTTTCAGTCTCCAAAGCGTGGTATTAACTGAACTAGATCTACTTTTGAAGGCGGTGCTCTCCGAAAGCAAGGATTTGGCTCTAAAGATAGCTCCATAAAAGCTCTTCCAGGTCTTCTATTTTTCAACGTCCCTAGTAAGAAATGAAATCGGTTTCTATACATCCAAATATAACCTAACGCGTGCTGCAGTCGGCCAATTCTCATAGTCACCGGTTAGCAATAGGACCGAATTCCTCCCCATCAATATCGGTTTCATGGGTCCAAGAGGTATAATCTCTCTGTTAATTGTCAAAAATATGCTCTCCCACTTTGTTACTGACAGTAAAAGGTTCCGAATACGCCTTATTACGGTTGCTTGAGGAGTTTCTCCACCCATCCACGCAACTGCATGGCTCAGTTCAGACCGGAAGTATACCATTTCCTTCCCCATGAGGGCAGCACACCAAAGTCATTCCTAGCACTTATGAAAGTAATTATATTCTGCAACGGAGTCAATAATGCAAGCTCGGAATGGCTACAGAGTGTCGGCGGAGACTGAGCAACCCTGGAACGAGACTTCTACATTTCAGAAACCCATTCCTGACCGAGAATCCGGTCATGATATAGTCCTGCAACAGGTAGTGAATCTTGAAAAGACTATTGGCGTGACAATTATTAACAAGGTGATGGTTTTGGAGCGGCCGCAAGATCTGCTGTAAGGGAAAGGTTGCTACGTAGCCGTTCATCGACGTAATTTGACGCCGCGTGTTCCAATTTTCTTTTGAGAGAACTATACCTGCAAGTTTGTAATTCTGATCCTATTTGGCAGCTTACGGTCAAGATCAAGCAGCAACTAAATATTTAGCGTCTTCGAAGCTTTTGTTGATTTCACATCCAGCAATCTCATCGCCCATTGCCCGTACTATTGACAAGTTGTGTTGATAGCCAGTTACGGACCTAGGACTTACAACAAAAGTACAGGTTCACCGCAAATGTGCCTCCAATTATGAAGGTCATAGCATCAATTTTAAGAGGATGGGATGCCGCTTTTGGAGGACAATTTACGAAGCGCCGGGGCTGACTTCGGTCGGCCCCACCCCTCCATGTTAGCGCTACCCGGTCGGGGCCCCACAGGTACGGCGCTTGCCGTAATTACGCTAATGTAGTTAGTATATAACCAGAAAAGCTACCCTTTCACCCGCTATTAATATGAGTTATCGGGTATCCCTTTTTATCTTTTATTAACCACCTAAATGTAGCTATAAAAAAGAAATTCTCGCGCACTTAATATTCCCTAAAATATTATCGGTTAGAACTTAGAGCGCACGTAACTAGAGCTTAGAGCTATAAAAGTAGTGTAGTTTTATAGTTTTTAGTGAAATTTAGTGTAGTATAGACTATATAGTGTAGTGTAGTGTAGTTTTACGACACTATATTACATTT